GATTACATTGATCGGAGAAGTATGAATATGATTAAAGGTGACCAGTTTATTTAAATCGGACGAATATGCATAGTGTTGTCTGGATTAGTAATCTGGACAAAAATGTTGAGAATTTACTCTAAGTGTTAAATCGGACATAGTGAAGTATTGTCCGGGTTAGTAATCCGGCCAAGGTTGACTGGATTATGTTTTGACATATCATTTCATTGATTTTGTTGAGAAATGAGAATTTTTGATAAAATGAATTTGAACTGATAATAATTCCATTGACTGCGGTCTATTCTAAATGGAATTGTTTTGTGAAAATATTTTGATGGGAGAAATAAGGGTGACATATCAAGGAGAGGTGTACCATGGGATAAGGGTGGCATATCAAGTAGAGGTGTACATTTGGATATAAGAGTGGCATTTGTATGTGCGTTATGTAATATAACTCTTATTATCATATCCTTTAAGATTACCGTGGTCTGGAATCTTTATTTCTTTGTGATTTAAAGGAATAGGATCAGTGTTCTTACTGGAAATCATAATCTAGATGTTATTGAGAAGGAGATAACAGGTTTGGTCTGAAACTTTGAATAAACCTTATTTGATTTGAGAGGTTTAAAAGTGGCATTATAATAATTTGGTTAGTGCAAACCTGTTTGGATTTGATGTATTGTTTGCAAGCAGAGGATTTGGCTTGAAAAGTGAAAGGTATTAGTATTATGTTCTTACTTGTTCATATATTTGTGAAAAATTGTTTTACTTAAAAGTTTTGGTATTTTCACCCTGCAATAACATAAATAGGGTAACTCACTAGACTTTTCGGTCTAACCCTCGTTTTGTAATTTTAAATATTTATTGCAGGAATTGCAGAAGGTTAGGGAAAAGGGAAAATGTGATAATTCCCTATGTGTTTATCTGCATGAAGAATGGCTAATGATGATATGTATAGTTTTGATAGATAAATCTTGATTAGTATAAGAATTGTATTTTGGAATTTTTGGACCATGTATTCTGAAATGATAGATTCATGTACTAGGGGACCTATGTGGTGTATAAACATGTATTTCTTGTATATGGAGTATATGTTACATGCAATGTGTGGTATGAGGTGTTACAAATTCATATACATAAACAACAAACCACTCCCAGCAAATGTGAAATATATACAGTATGATTCATAATACAAACACTTCAAATGTTAACCATCCTAAAAACAAGTTGAAGAGATATTCATTATTAAATGAAGAGCACGTTGAACATTCTAATAACCTTGAGCAAATATCAAAACATGAAATCTATTTGCATAAATCTGGAAAGATTGGGAAATACCTCTTGCATTTGAATTTGAAAACAAAAAGACCAAAATACAAACACACAAATCTTCTATTTCAATCAATAAATGGAAACAACCACCTAAATAGAGAACAATATATCTTAATGCATAATCACATGTATCATGACAAAAATAAAAAAAAATAACAATTTTAATGCATAATCTGATCATATAAGGTATACCTAAGAGTCTGCTCTACTGAATCTAATATCCCTTCCTGGATATATCTTTCAGCTATTGAAACACACAAGCATATTTAACAAATCAAACCAAAACACTTAGTGAGTCTTTTATGAAATTTGTTAGAAGCAAAAAAGACTGAGATCTTTGCATATACAAAAATAAGTTAGATAGTACCTTGACGTGAAGAGATGGAGAAATGAAACAAACCTTGGGACGAGAATTCCATTAGAATTGAACAAAGAGGATGAATATGAAGATTAAAACCACTCATAGGAAATCAATAGTCGCTTAAAGAGAGTCGAGGGTGGCAAAACTCTCCATGTGTTGATAAAAAAATTGAACAACAGTCCCTATTCAAATTTTGTATAAATTTGGACCCAATAAAACTTATGATTGTAGCATTAAGAAAAAAATGAGATATAGACTTTTCACTTAACTTCAATGTCAATGGAGCAAAATAGAAATTGGAAAAAGGTAAATCATATAATGTAACGTGCTTGACATTCAAAGTCAAAGTACATATCTCTTTTGGAACCCATTAGCAACACAATTGTCAAAATCAACAAAGCAAAACAAATACCATAGTTAAAGATAGAGTACCTGTTAGTTTAAATAATCATAAAGTATTTGTTCAAGATGCTCAAAAATAGTAGTATAAAAAGAAAATAAATAATGTTGGAGAAGAATTGAAAGGAAACATAACATTATCGTCGACCAATAACATATGAAAAATCGCAACTTGAATGAAGATGTTGAAGTTATGCCTGACACATAAGAAACTGGGGGCCCAACTTCAACTCAAGAGTGTTCTTCTCGTCCTTCAAACCAAAGCAAAAAAGCAGAAAGCTAAATAAACATGTAATTCTAACAAAGCCCAAGTTTAAAAGACTATTTTGAAGGTTATGAATATCCCTAGAAAAATATGGAACACCAACTGTAAAACAATGATATTGATGATTGCTTGAAGAGGTTGAAGGACCTTGGATGGGGTGCACCATTGATGACTTAACATTATTTGTTTTAGGCGAAAGTGTCGACTATGGGAAAATGTGGATGTGTTTAGAGCCGGAGAAATGAGGGTTGAATTAGACTTATGACGTAAGTATGGACTACTTTAGTTGTTGGGTTTGGATTAAACTTTGTTTTTTTGGGAAAATTTGTGTTTTGGATTAAACTTTGTTTTTGGGAAGATTTGTGTTTTGGATTCAACTAATATCATGTGTTTGTTTTTGGGAACATATGTTTTTTCATGGACATCTAAAATGATATGTATTTGTTTCTGGGAGAAATTGTTTATGCTGTTTTCATGTTTAATACATGTCTCTCTCATGTGTTTGTATTATTTGTTATTTTCAAGGTAATACATGGACTTTGAGGAAGAACTTTTGTTAGTTTTGATCATCTATTGATATTGGAAATACAAACTTTCATCAAGAATAGAATGTATAAGAGATAATACTTCTATATTCACTGAACATACATATACACTATAATTGTTTGGCGGATCGAATACGCAATGTGTTGAATTGATTAAGCTTTCTCATGACACATATATACTACTATGCAACATTTTAAACAAAAGAATTAGTTGCAAAACAATACAAAAAATAGCTATATTTTTAATGATTATTGGTCATAATGAACGCTTTAAAATGGTTAAACGAAGATTTCAAACTCCATAGAGACTACTGATAGATATTTCCTTGAGGTAACTATGGGTAATGATGAAATTTGTAAAAGAAGTTATACAAGCAACATCTTTCGAGGGAACGACAAATATGTAGAACGTCAAAGAAATCTCAGACGAATACTTTTGATAAGTTTTCTATTATTTTTTGTAAAACCAAAACATACAATTGTGTCTAATAATTTGCACTTTTTTTTTAATAAAAGAGGGCAATTGGCGTGTTAGATAGAACTCTCGTACATGCAATCGTGCATGTTGATCAATAAGTTCGTTATAAAGGTAGAGGAAGGAGTGAATGTTATCAAAATATTTTAGCTATTTGTGTTTTTAATTTTCTTTTCACGTAAGTTTGGGCTGGATGAGAGGGTATTACATATGATGCTAGAGTGTTGAGAGACATAAAAATTGCATTCAGTCCAAACAACTCTCATTCTACACTAAACCATACAAAAAGTTATCTACACTAAACCATACAGAAAGTTAAAATGATATCAGTTAAACAATTACTATATCATACCAAGCCTCTCATTCATTCTGACCATTCTGACGATTAACGATTATGTATTAAATCATTATTAAAAGGGCAAAATGCATAAAATAACAATCTACTTTCATAAATTTCTTTATTATAACATTGTACTTTCAGTTTTTCTTATTACAGCAATGTACTTTCAAATTATTTTTTATTAGGACATTGTACTTTGAAAAATTTACCCATTATAGCATTAGGTAACCTTTTGATTTAAATTTACCCATTGTACTAGGTTTCCAAGCCACCTCATTGTCCACGTAGGCTGTCCACATGTACTATAGTGATGTGACTTTCTTACTACATCATTGTACTTTCAAAATTATTTTATTATAGCATCTACTAGTTCTTATTAAACACTGTATTTTTAATTTTAATATTTAGATATTTTACATGTTTTTTTAATAAATGTATTAAATGAATTAAAAAAATTCTAAATTATTCATTAATATACCAATATCAATAAAACTAGTAGAACACAACTTATCTCGTTAATATTTTTAAAAAAATATATGTTTTTTGAAAAAAGGAAAATAAGAATTGTTTTTTTTTACCAAAAAATATTATCTTTACTTGACGAATATATTATATTTGTTTAAAAACTTTTTACTTGACATATAAATATATTAAATTAATTAGATTTTTTTGAAGTATTTATTAATATAACAATATTAAAAAATAGTAGATAACAATTTATTTCGTTAATATTTTAAAGAGAACTTTAAAATATATGTATTTATTTGAACAACATAAAATAGGAAAAGTTGTCTTTTATACAAATAAAATATATCTCGAAAATAATGTTGCATATTTATTTAATAAATATTTTACTCTAAGAATATTTAATTTAAATGCAACTTAATAAGAAAAAGTAAAAAAAATTAATTTTTTTTTAGATAATAGCAATGAAAAATGAAAATCACTAATAATAATTTGAAATATGTTTTTATTTCAATTTTAGTTAAGTCATCAAAATGATGTGTCATCCACATCACCTCATTAAAGCCACACAAACAAAAAAATCAAAGAGTTAACCGGTTTAAAAGATAATTATAGATAAATTTTTTTAATATACAATATCTTAATAAAAAATAATTTAAAAATACATTATTATAATAAAAAAAAACAAAAATAAAATATTATAATAAATTTTTTTATAAAAATAGATTATTATTTCATACATTTAACTATTATTAAAAACCCCACATGAATAACCCATGGTTTGTTGAAAACCCAAAAATTGGTTATCTGTCACGCGGAATCATAAACAAGTTCTAGATACAGTCAAACGTATAATCTTCGTCACGAAGATAACGTATCAACGCCACCGATATATGTAATTGTTGTCCAGACTATGCAGAAAAGTAGAATCCATTTTTCCTAGGGGATCTTCAAGAAATCAATTCCTTCTGGTCGGTTGATTGGTAGTACCAAAACCCTAAGTTTATCAAAAAAAAATTATCAAATGGGTTTACAGCAATCCAAAGACGAGCTTTTGTATCAACAAGTCAGTTATGGCACAACTGAAGGCATCAAATCGCTTCGCAGCGAAGGTGCTGGTCTTGAGGTAAGCGCAATAAATGATCCATTTCGAAGAAAATTCATTGTAGGTATTTAGAATTGGGGAACTGATTTGTTCCGGGTCCATAATTCAAGGCTGTATGTTTTAACATGGCGATAAATCACTTGGTGTGTAAACAATGATCACGTACTCTCTGTGTTGGGGATCAGATCTTCTTTTTAATGGACATTGATATGGGCTTTGTTGCAAATTAAGAACATCATTTTTTTCTACGTCTATTACCCCTTTAAAGTTCTAATTTAGGTAACAGTTTCTCTTGGAAAGTAACATTTCGGCTTCCAAAGTGGGTAGTTATTTTTGAAATGGGCCAGTTTTAGAGAAAGAAGAAAATAAATCTTTTGGAACAGATGATCATCGAACTAGGATATAATTTTCTTGAAATGGAGGGAAATTTGTGGTGCAATTATGTGTTTAACTCTGTGTAAGCTGTTGTTTCTGGTGTAGTGGATGGACAAGGAAGGAAAGACTCCTCTGATACTGGCTTCCATGAATCCACAGCTATATGATGTTGCAAAAACGTTGATTGAATTGGGTGCCAATGTGAATGCGTACCGTCCAGGTGAGCTGTTTCATGCCCTTTAGAGTCTATACGTAATTGTTGCTGTTCTTATGGATGTATGATGCTTTTATACAAAATGCAGTTGATTTGATGCGTCAGTTATGAAGTTAGTAATATTTACTTGGTAAATTCTTCACTTCCCATTGAATGGTAAATTCGGGAAGGAAGGGGAGACTTTCTGGTGAGGTTTTCTTTTTAGTTGGAGTGTACATTAGACATACTGGAGAGCTTATGAGTTCAAAATTTGAACATTGTCTATGACATGTAGTTGTTTGGTGCTATCAAGTCGACAGCCCCTTGTTCCTCTGTTCCTATTGCCTATACGTACATATGAAGATATATGTTCAAATTTATCTTAATGGCATATTGGCATTGGACCACCTTGCGCAGAAATGTTTATAGGATGGATCCCGATGGATAATGAAATCAGGATAGTGGCGTTATAGCAGGTTTTCATCAAATGATGACTTGTTTTTCCTGGAGAGGAAAATTGTACATTTGGTTCATAGGGTTCTAGACAGTATTTTGAGAGAGCTCCATATATAGTTTTGGGCTCCCTGTTAGGAAGGGTTGGAATTCCTGCTGTTATCATAGAGTTGAAATTTTTATTTTGCTACATTCATATCATCCTAATTAAAAGTTATCCACAATTACTGGTCTATAGACAAGCATACTCTCCTTAAAGCTCAAAAACTGCATGGTGATCAATTTGGTGTTTATCCTTGAGGGTATAGTACGTAAATTAACCATAGATGTCCTTCATAATTAGTGGTCAATTGAGTTGCGTAAAGTTGCCTGGGGAAAGAGGACACAGGTATTGAACAAGGGTGTACTTTGGTTTGGGCTTGGGAAGAAATGTAAAATCCTTGTTACAAATGGTTGTGTAAAACGTATAAAAATGTTGGACTAACATGGGAAATAAACTTACTTTTACTTTCCTAAATAAATACTATTCTGGAGGGCTCATTTCATGTATAATGATGTCATGAAGGAATGAGCGAAAGACTGACTGCAAGTTCGAGCAGTGTGTGGCATGGAAGGGAGCCACTGCGAAGTTCTTGGAATTTTCAAATCTCCTCAAGTAGGATTCGAAGCTACGACCAATCGGTTAACAGCCGACCGCTGTACTATGAATAGTTAATATTCAGATTCGACAACGAATCTAAACCGTAATTCGAATCTCCCCAAAAAATGGATCTAATTGCACTTCACACTCATGGTTGATATGTACAGTCAATACAACACTGATTATATAGTTGAAATACATTCATGGAGTCACAGGCTTCTGTCCCAAAATGATACTTTTTCCGATAACACGTAGCGTTGTTATTTGCTCCTGTTATCTAGGACAAAGCCTGGACAAAACCAATATTTAAATTGAAGTCAGATAACAACTAGGCTGGTGATTCACCAAAAAGACTTCTTTACACTCATTTTTGTTTTGTAGACAAGTAGTTTTAAGTTTAAGTAAAGATTAAGGCACTCAAATTTCAAGTTTTCCGCTTGCTGTGAGTCAACTTCACAGAGAGGTTCTATGAAATAGTAGAGATTTAACTCCCTGCTTAGTAGGCATGCACAGTCCATTGTTTTCATATCATGTGATGGCAGGAATATATGATCTTATCAACTGAATAACGACCTGATCTACTTGCTTGTGATTTGTTATGAAAGTTTCTTCTCTCTCACTTACAGTAACAAATTTCTTCAGGTCGTCATGCCGGAACTCCTCTGCATCATGCTGCAAAAAGAGGCCTAGAACAGATGGTTAAGCTACTGCTTTCTAATGGTGGTATGTGCTTGTTAGTCAAAGGCAACATTGCTACAAAGTCGTTGATTACTTTTGTTATGGATCAGTTGCTGGTTTGGCACTCCTTTCACAATATGTATTATTTCAATTTCAGCTAATGCCTTGGTGTTGAATGATGACTGTCAAACTGCACTTGATGTTGCAAGAGTCAAAGGATATAGCAATGTTGTTCGTGCAATTGAGGTACATGCACATTTTAAATTTATTTCACACACGATTGTGATATACAAAGCCAGTGATTCGGATATGCACAGCAGAAGCCCTTTATTTTGATTTTTTTCTTTTATCTTCTTAGATTCTCACATTTTATACTGATATGAGGATTCATAATGCGATTTTAGAACCACATCTGCTTATTCTCTGGTTGGCTGCAAGAGCTTTATGGGCCAGGGTTTCTTGAACTACTTGCTCCTCAACTACTTTCTAGAAAAGTGTAAGTATTGCAATTTATCTGTGTTATAGTAACATTATCTTTTGTATGGTGGACTACTGAATGATCAGATAAATAATTAAGATTTGTGAATTGTGTGGATCTATACTTGCTATATGGTGGTTTTCTTGAAGACCCTGAATTAACTATGTTTAATGTTTAGTTAGTTTTTCCAATCTAGATTCTTTGTGTTATAGCTTTTCTTCTTTTGTTAAATGTTTATACGTAGTGGATGTTGCATGGTTCCATTGGTTGGAATGCTTCTGGATAATTGTTCAACTTCTTTGGTATATCTCATTTGCAAATGGATCAATTTTTTTTTGAACTGCATTATTTGCAGGTGGGTAGTTATACTACCATGCGGAGCTCGTAAACTTACGACACCTTTCAAGTTGGAGCTGGCTATATATTCCGGTTTACAGGTATGTTGGTTTGGATCTACCACTTAACCAAAAGTCAAGGATGGCTGGACTTGCTTAGCTTCTAACTTTTTCAGGATTCTAGACTAGTTATTAAATAGAAGATAACTACCTCAGAATTTGTAACTGTCATCTCTCTTCGTGCATCCTACCCCACCAATCCCCCAACTTTACCTACCTTCTTCCTCTCAAGTCTCCTCTCTCCACCTGTTTCACACATACACTTGCCTTTGACAACCCAGAGGAGATGATACTGGGTGTTGTCATAAAGAAAAAAAATAGCCTAAAGAAGAGGAATGAAGGCCCTGGAGATTGAGAATAATATCTTTGAGAATAATATCACATTGAAAGATTTTCTAAATGTACAGGGCGTGCTTTGAGAAAGAAGAGAATTTTTGATTTGGTGCCTCTTTATTAATCTTATCAGCTTGCTCTGGGGATTGAAATGGGAGACCCTTTCCCCTTTTTATTTCTTCCTTCTGTTCTCTTTTTCTCTTTCTTTTTCTTGCTATTCTTATACACCTCTTCTAGTTCTTTTTTTTTTTTGTAACCATAAGTATATATGGAGTAATGTTGGGGATGAATTAGTTCCATAATCAGTATCTATGTTGCATTTAACATGGAAAAGTTAATAGCTTCGTTTTGGGGTACAGGAGCGTAAGATACTTCATATACACCAAGACACTTGTTTTTATTTCGTAATGAAAATTAGACAAAGAACTGAAACACTTATTAGTAACCTATGCTCCCTACTTTCCAGAAAATTCACTGCCTCAACCTGCTTGTGGGTGCACTATCCTACAGCAAACATGTGTCCAGTTTAGAAATCGCCACATCAGCACCACCCCTGTCGAAATGCAAACTTATGCTTGTTGTGGGATAGTAGAAGAATTTTTTGTGAATTAGCTGATAATAAACATGTGTTATTCTCTAGGAAGTCAAATTTCTAATCTCCAGGTAGATGGGTTGATAGAACCGAGTTTGTATAGATTGGGTAGATATCATGTTTACAAATGGTTATGTGTCGTGGTTCTATTTCATGGATTCTCCATTCGCAAAATTTTAGGCCTCCTATGCCTAGTGAAACTTGAACTTGGAGTGGAATTTGTGTTCGACTGCATTCCTCTATATATAGAAAGTAAGGATGTCAATATTTAGGATTACAAAAACATTGTGTCCCTGCTCAGGTTCTGGTAAGCAAGAATAACTGATTATAATATTTTTGAACAACTAAAATCCAGTAATCTCAATTTGTATTTCATATGTTCCCTCCTTTTTCTGCATGCATATGTGCTTTAATTGTTTGCTTGAACTATTGTCATATCGTGTTTTCATTCGAGCATTTAATCTTGGCATCTAATATTGCACCGGTTTTTATGAATAAACAGGATGCCAAACCTCGCACAATTATTGCACTGTGGAAGGCTAACATGGATGAACCTAACTTTAACCAGTCTGATCCTGCAGTCATCATTTCTAGTTCCAACAGTAATTTTTCTACACATTTGGACCAGAATATATACTTGCTAGTGCACTGTAAAATTCGTACTATTTTACGCCACTTGTTTTTCTTCTATATGTATAGTCCCAAGAAGATGGAGACGCAAGCGATGTATTTTGTCCTCTCAAGTTAGGCGTAAGTTTGTTGAGTTGAAGTAGCTTAGACTTCCCACACGAAAAACGCATTTTTAGTTAGAAGTCAAATTATTTTTCCTGCATCTTATTTCATTCATTTCATGGTAAATTTCTGTTCTATGCTTATTTTTGTGCGTTTGGTACGCGGGACAGGAAAGAACAAAACCTTGTTGTCGGACATTTGGAGCGGCATTTAGACCGAGTCAGGATAGGACTGAGTGAGACAGAAATACCACCAAAATTGGTGGAACAAATGGGACAAGATTGGTAAATTACTAAAACCCATGTCAAATTAAAACCCTAAAACCTTGCATAATTCTTCCACCCGCCTACCTCACTCTGGCCCATCCAATCTTGTCATGTCCAGCCCCATCTGCGTACCAAATGCACCCTTATAAAGAATTTTGTATATGGGTTTAAATTGAATTGATTAGACACTACACTCTAATTTTTTTTTCATATGGGACATTGGCACATGATGCTTTGGTTTTATAAGAATTGATAAGGGACAAAGCTGTCCCTGGTAGCTCCAGAGTATTGCTGATTCAAAAAAGAAAACCAAAGTGTTTGTGAGCTTTTGAGCCAATAGTATGCATCAATATTCGAGGTTCCACCAAGTGCATCACAAAGTTTGGTCATGGTCGCTAATATCCACAAAGCCGTCAAATAGGAACAAGTTTGGGAAACCTTCATGATTTACCAAATAATAGCTTGCGTAGGAAACTGTCTTTGTTGTTGCTTCTTGGAAGAGACAAATATTTGCAAGTAGCATTCCTGTCTTGGTCATGCCTGAATATGACTTCAATCATCATTTTGGGTGATTATGTATGCCCTTTTATCTGCAAAAAGACAGGTAGCATGAATACATGACTGAATATAGGGTCCATCATCATATCGAGTGATTAAGTAGCTTTATTCTACAAGGAGTAGACTTTTTGCTGCCTTAACCTGAGCTTATTTGCAACTACAGAGTCACGCGTCAAACTTGCACCGGTTAATGAAAATGAAAAGCAGCAATTGCAGCGGTTTTGCAATGCATGCAAAGGAATTCCTCAGGTAGAATCATCTACGTGATCCATCCCTAACCTTTTCGAATTTTTGCTTGAATATTTGTTAAATTTTACTTTGTAGTTTCTACTAGGCATTTATAGTCTTCCCAAAATAAATGTCGACAATAAAAAACAGAGTTTAAGAAATGTGTAATTACTACACTTTTTAATTGAATTACAATTTTACCCTTAATTAGTGGCAAACCTTCTCTCTCTCTCTCTCTCCAGTTATCTCTCAACTCTTAAATAATTGTGCATCTTACGGGTAAAGTTGGAAATTTAGTAAATTATAACTACATTGTTTTAAAAGAGGAAACGTATTTTGGAACAAACTTAAGTAGAACCATGGACACTTATTTTGGGACGGAGGGAGTACTGTTTGTGATTGGCCAGGTGTTTTATATGTTTAAAATGCTTATATTTACATATATATTTTTTTTACACATTTCAGGTTATCCATGCTTCATTTCCATTCAACAATCAAGGCGCTGATGTTGAAGGACCGGCCCAAACAACACCCGAGGACGCAGACCTAGCCCTGGCTATTAGCGCATCCCTCCAATCTGCTTCAGGTGTGAGACCTGTGCCTCCTAATACTTACCCCGGTTCTGGTTCAAGCACATCTGCTGGTTGGACCAACTCCACCAGCCAAAACAGCGAAACTGCAACTCATAATGGAAAGAGCAAATGGGAAATTCATGATGTAGGAACTAGTAGCACCACTACTCATTATCATCCCCACACAGACACCAACACCTATTCTCAAATTGTCCCAACCGCACCCATCACACCACCCTCGGTCCCATCAGCACCTCCGGTTTCAGACATGGTGGATGATGGTCCGATTCACTACCCAACCATTGATTCCACTCCTATGGATCTATCTTCATCTGTAGAAGAGTCTAGACCTGCTGCTAAGGCAGGTGAGAAGGAGAAAGATAACAATGATTCTTCGTCTTGTGTTATATGCCTGGATGCACCAGTTGAGGGAGCTTGCATCCCGTGTGGTCACATGGCTGGATGCATGTCCTGTTTGAACGAAGTCAAAGGCAAGAATTGGGGTTGCCCTGTCTGTCGCACCAAGATCGATCAGGTTGTACGGCTTTATGCTGTCTAAGGTTGATGCTGCATCTGATTTACTCAATGGTAAGTTTTTCTTCTCGGTTCAACAGCAGTTCAAAGCCATCAGGTTTCGTTTGTGGTTCTAGGCATTGAACTAAACCAAACCGAACCGAACCGAGTCAAACCAATTCATATTAATCGAGAAATAATCTATTTTATTTATAATAAAAAGGAACTCTGTTTTTTTTAATTATAAGTAAAAATGGTTGATAGCTTGTTTCTATAATGCTTTTAAGAAGCTGAGGTTAAATTCATTTGTGTAGAGTCGATCATGTGAGACATTTTCATTTTCATGAGAAGGTGAGAAAAGGTAAAGGTACCTTGATATTGTGTGAATGTTAAGTAATATTGTTTGAAGGTTGTAACCTTCTACACAATATAACGGTATCTTCACAGGGTTCATGAAAGACATTCACCCGATACAAAGGTGCCTTCACTTTTTCTCACTTCTTGTAAAAAGGGGTTCTTCTCACCGGAACCCACCCCATTTATCTATATACGAAAAGATTATTTAATTCATGGGAACGAACCAAACCAAGATTCACTGGTTTGGTTTGTTTCGAGGGCTTTTACCATTCAGTTTGGTCCATAAAATTTAGGTTTGATATAAAACCAAACAGGATCTAACTACTTACACCAAAATCTGTGACCCTAATGTTTTCTCTTTGGTTATGCAGTGTGTATATATTTTAAGAATGGGTGAAAATAATCTTTGCCTGTTATGGGAGGAGTAGAAAATATTGGAGGTGATCATCAAGATTTCTACAACTTCAAAAGGTGTGGCATTTTGTTAATGACGTAAGCTCCCTATTGCCTTCATTTTGAGATTATTAACACTCCAAATATTATGAAGTATGTGCTGAATTGTCTGGAGCACATCTTCTACTCCTTCCTGTCTAAAATGAGTGAAACAAGTAATATTGTAAATCTAGCCTGTGGATATGAGTTGAATAATTAAAATTGTGGTATGGTATTATGTCAAGTATTTTAAGCACATGCTTAGTATGTTGACATGCTTTGAACATTTTACAATATTTGGGATACGAAAGAGTTGAACTATAGACAATATGTTATAAAAGATGGTTAATAAACCAAAGAGCCTTTGGCCTAGCAGGTAAACCAAACTTCTCAACGGTCAAAGGTTCAAGCCGATTGTATATGCTACTTCAATTTTCCGTATATAAATATTATATACTTTAAAAGATTGGATAGATAATGTCGTTTTTAATGAATTTGATTAGTTTATTATATTATATCAACAGATACAATTGTAATATCTAAAACACCACCAATCACTTTGTTAGCCTACATCTGAGATTTTGGGGAAGTATGAAAGATGGTGTTTATGCAAGGAAAGTATCTCTTGATTGGAGATATATAAAGTGCCATAGGGTCATTAGCACTTTCTTTTCTTATGGCTTGTTTCTTTTTTTTGGTTTAATTAGTTCATAAGGGTCTGTGTCAGGGTGTTTAGAAACAACTTTTCTACTCCTCTGGGTGGAGGAAAATCTGCCTACATCTTCTTCAGATGTCACTCCACCCCATGTGGGTTATACGGAGTTTGTTGGGTTAGTTCATAGGGTTTCTGTCCTTTCTACATACACCATGTAAATCTTATACCATACGGTCTAGGGTTGGGTTCCGGTGAGAAGGAGAGTTAAGGAGAGATATCCACCCTTGGATTCAAATTAGGATGAGATGCACCGGATCAATGTCAAGCGCGATTCATGGGTGAGTTTGAGATTAAAAATGATCAAGGGTCTAGATCCCTTTTTATGCTTCTCACCTTAACTCTCCTTCACCATACGATCTAGGTGGCGGAGTCTTTACAGAAACTTCTCGCTTACATTTTATCCTTCACAGACCTAACTAACTCCATCTGGGATATATTTTGTTGAAAGGGTATATGTTCTTTTTACACGTGTTGCTCTAATGTTTATACTACCTTCCAGCTGACCCTTAAATAGTTGATGGTACTTGGTATAAAAAGCCAAGTTTGAAGTTGTACCTGCTGGCTGGCTGGCTGGTCAAACAAAAGAAAGATCATGTCTGATGACAAAATTACAGGTTAAGCCTCATGGCATGTCTGTGTTAGTGTATGATTGTTTTTGTGAAAGGGAACAAAAGATGGGTAATATGTCTATGCTACATTGCTACTATCCAATTTGTCTTTTAGTGATTTATAATTTATCCAAGGCTTTTTCAGGGCTGGGGTTGTGGTGGGATAGGTAACTAATAGATTTAAAAGTTTTTGGAATATATTACATTATGTTCAAATTCTCCAGGGGCATTTTAGTCTTTTTTTTATTTTTTAGTTTGTTTTTTGATATAATAAAACTATATATTTTTGGATAAAAAGATTGATACATGAAAAATTATATTATTTAATTACTTTTTATGATAAAATGATTAAATATTTTTATACATTTAGTTTTTTCATATATATGGTTATTATAATTTTAGTTTCTTATGAGTTCAGTTTTTGTTACTAATATCGTTCAAGTGTAAATCGTTGAGTATCCCTCAAACAAAAGTATTTTAATTCTTTTTTCTTCTTTAGAGACCAAACAGTTATATTTTATGTAGGAACAAACAACTAACCTCTTTTAGATTGCTTTTACCAAACAAATGTGTGTGTGATTTTATTAATAAAATGTACAATTGTTTGGTCACGTTATCAATTATACCAAATCTTATATGAATATGTTACAATAAGTTTAAAAGTGTCAATGACTTGTATTTGAATAATGTTAGTGTCAAAAATTCGAATTCATAAAAAACTAAACTATAATGATCAAAATATTAAAAGAACTAATTGTATGAAAAATATATAATTATTTTTTCGTAAACGATAACAAAATAATTTAATATTTTTATGCATTAATTTTTCTATCAAAAAATATATAGTTTTATTAAATCAAAATGACTAAAATACCAAAAGAAAAAAGATATTTAATGAAGCAAAAAGAAAAAAAAATCAAAAAAATAAAAATACCCCCAAGTTAAATGGAGGATTTCTAGTAGATTTAATCTCAAGGACGAAAATAACAATAAATTACAAACTGTAGGAACGAAGATAACAATAAATTATAAATCAATATATGAAAACAACAGCAAATTACAAATTACAGGGACCAAAATCGCAATTTCAAAGGGATGAAATCTAGTTTACTCACTAAAATACTTCAATATACCTCCACTATGACAAAAGCTTTACCTTTTTCAGGGTCCCACATTTTAACTTTTATATCATTTATATTCTTATTTATAAAACTCAATATATTAAAATTTATACAAATACATATTTATTTAAATCAAGAAAATATTATTTCTTGAATTATGTATTTATTTTACATAATTCTTTTAAATATATTAATACARCATATAATATATTAACTTAAAATAAAAGTATATACAAATAAAAGAATAAAAATTGGGTTTTCAAAAAATTTATAAAAATTGTATAAAAGTAGGTACAATAAAATTTGAAAAAAAGTTAACCCAAAAGTATGTTCAATGTAAAATAAAAATTGTGTTATCAAGAAATAGAAAAAAATTGTATAAAAATGTGTGTAAATTTGAGATATTAATTCAAGTATATAAAAAATATAATTATTTTAATTATATATTTGTTTTACATTATTTATTTATTAATTATATTTAAAATAATTACTTTATATATCTATAGTAATAAATAATACTGATTAAATATAAAACTTTTATTAAGTTATATAAAGTTAAAATTGATTAAATACGAAAAAAAACTCTAAATTTTTTAATAGTATAGTTATGAAACCTCTCAAAAAGCAACATTGTGGATGATACAATCCGTATCATTTGTAAAATGGAAAATTGCACTAAAATGGAACCAACTTTTATCTCATTCCTATTTTAAGGAACCAACTTTCAAAATCATCATTTTGGAGAACCAACTTGCACCTGATTCCTTTTTTGGAGAACCAACTTTCAAAATCGTCATTTTGGGGAACCAACTTACACCTAATTCCTATTTTGGGGAACCAACTTGTAAAATAATTATAGAAAAATAACTAAAATTCGTTTTTTTTCCAAAAATTAATGCAATAAAATCTATTTTTCATTTCAAATCTTGTTTTTTTTTATAATTCAGATATCAAATTGAACATTTAAAAAAAATCCAAATTACCACAATAAAAATTGTTTTTTACTAATGCAAAAAAAAAGCAATTTGATAGAAAAAAATTAATTGATGCAATAAAAAATAAATATTTAGGGGTCTCTATCAAACTTTTTGTGTATCAATTAATTTTTTTCTATTAAAATGTTTTTTTGTATTAGTAAAAAACAATTTTTATTGTGTTAATTTGGATTTTTTTTATAAATGTTCAATTTGATATCTGAATTAAAAAACGAGTTTTGAAATGAAAAATAGATTTTATTGCATTAATTTCTAAAAAAAACGAATTTTAGTTATGATAATTATTTTTCAAGTTGGTTCCCCAAAATAGGAATCAAGTGCAAGTTGATTTCCCAAAATGACGATTTTGAAAGTTGGTTCCCCAAAATAGGAACCAGCTGCAAGTTGGTTCCCTAAAATGACGATTTTGAAAATTGGTTCCCCAAAATAAGAATTAGGTGAAAGTTGGTTCCATTTTGGTGCAATTTTTCATTTGTAAAATGCACACCTATTCCCCACTGTAGCTCTATCATAGACCCATAGTAAGCCCACTCAATCAACATATGTGCTTCAAGATATGGATTTCACGATACAAAATAAAACACTAAATCAATAGTGAAAACTTCATGTATTGTCATATCGACTCTTCACACAAACTTTCCTTCACCCACTTTAGATGATCTAGCTCACTTTGGTCGGCAAAACCCAAACCTATAACAAAGTATAACAACAAGAAATAAGGTAACATATGTTTCGTCAAAAAATCAAGATGGGTGTTTCGTAACAATGGGTTTGTTGGTGTCTCATCTATTCCGACTCTTTTCCTCCCTTCCCCTCTCTATACACTTTCTTTTTTTCCAATCATACTTCCATACTCCAATTGTCTTTTCCGGACTGCTATTAACTCTGAGTTGTGTATGTTGTCGTCTAGGAGATGAGATCAAAGATGGGTCGATGACGCTGCTATGGAGTTCGATTTAGGGGATGAGACGGTAGGGCATGATTTTAGGGATGGAGGTTTCGGGAAATAGCTTTAAGCCGAGTAAATAAAACTTATTTACTATTTTGATGAGTTGTGAAAGAATTTAATTACTAAATTAAATAAACAAATGATTGGTTCATATTGGATCTCACAAATCTTATAAAATTTTGAGTTCTCATTTGATTGAGCCTATACTATGTTGTAACACCCAAAATATTTGGGACAACAAAAATTCCAAAGAAACCATAAATATTAAAATAAGAGTCTTTTCAAAAAAGGGGAACTTAAATATGCATGTTAATTAAGAAGTGTAACAATTGGGTATAAGGATAACAACCTACTAATCTAATCTCTTAAAGAAATAAGATTATAATTGGGTGTCACCTAAACCACCAAAAATAACTTCAATAGTCGGCATCTCAAAATGCTCTCCAAGCTCTCTTTCTCTAAAAAGACCGGTCCGACCTTCTTGGCGGCCATGCCACTAGAGCCTGAGATACATGTCGACACAAAACAATTGTTAGGCCAAAAATCCTAGTGAGCATGAACATAAAGTAGACAAGTGCAATATAATTAGTTAAAACCTTTTGTAAGCTAAGTACCACATTTTAGGTGGACTCAAGGGGGGAGGCTCGTATCCATTGAGAGTGATGGGAACACAAAAGTATGTCACTCAAACAACATTGTCACATAACACTTCAAGACTTATAGTCCAAGTAACCTAACGACCACTTAACAAGTTTAATCTCAAGACTCAAGAGTCGGTTGACCTTAATGTCGATTCTTATGAATAACACCTCAAGGCTCGGCACACTTAATGTCTACCTCTAAGGTAACACCTTAATTGGTAGAGTTCTTAGTGTTTACCCCTAAGGTAACACCTCAAAACCCAACCCTCCTAATGCCTACTTGAGAATTTTC